CCAGGCAAGAGTACTGGAGTGGGGTGCCATTGCCTTCTCCAACATGATATAACTACTTGGCACTAAATTTCCTCTCTTCTAAAATTGGGGTAATAGAATACCTATGACTTAGTTGAGTTAACCAAAGGAATAAAACTTTTACCACACATAAAGTACTCATAGCAGTTCCAGATTATAGTGTTTTTCAAGTATACTTAATACTATTATTACTGCACTACTAATAGTACTGCTGTGGCCACCATCACAACTACCGAGTATGAGCCCCTTTACTGCTACTAGTACTTCTAGAACTACTACAAAGGATGAGCCCCCACATCTGCAAGGTCCTTGACTTCCCACTTCTCTGCCATGACCACCCAACAACCGACCTCCTGAAAGAGGAGCCAGGGCTCCACCAATTGCACCTTATACAGCCTCAGGCCTGGCCTTCCTGGAAGTATTTCTGGAGATAAACAATTTTGGAATCAACACTCCCCACTGCCCTTCACAAGGCACTGCATTATTTAGGTGGTCTGTGCCCTCTCAAAGGTAGCATTCTGCCCCTCATACCTGTCCCATCCTCTGCCACAATGACCAACCCACCTGTGTCATCAAGGAGAGCTCTATCTCCCAGAACTATCCAGTCACCTGTGAGCTGACAGATTCTCTGGTTTCTCCAGTTGTAATGGGTTGACTTCACCTACCCAGCTGCCTACTACTCACAGTGCTCTTCAGTAAAAGTCTTTTTCTTTCCTTTTTCAATCATGCCATGCAGCATGTGGGATCTTAGTTCCCCAACCAGGGATGGAACCTGCATTGGAAGCATGGCATCTTAACCACTGGACCACCAGGGAAGTCCAACAGAGCCTCTTAAACAAGGAACCACACTGCCCACCTGTAAACCACCTGACCCACCCCCTTCACCCAAACACAGTGGATTGATGCCAACCCACTACCTTCTCCATGTAAAACACCTCTTTCTCAGCAACTGCATCTTCCATCCCTCCTGCTGTCACACACTCATAGGCCACCCGTGTCCCTAAGGCAGCACTAAGGGGCCACGGAGAGCACGAGCCACCCAGGGGGTCTGCAGCAGACCTCCAGCAGGCTCAGCCAGAACAGGGGGCTGATGGCACTGTGTCCCCAGGTGGACTATCCTCTGGGGGGTCTTGACCCAGGCCCTTCAGGGTTATGGAGGTCACTGATCTCACAGCTTTCTGCCTCAGGTTTGCCCTGCACATCCTTCCTTCACCCTCTGCCAATGCCAGGCTCCCAGACTCCACCTTCAACCAGCAATCTACCCCCACAGCCAGGGATAGGAACCAGCCTGGGTGGCTCACAAATTCTCCACAATTCACAGTGAAACTGGAGCTCCTCCCCATCAGGGCCTTTGGCTTGGGGTACCCAGCCCACTGGGAAGGGGGCAGCCAGGGGAATGGATGTGCTCTTGGGAGCTCTGGGCAACTTCAGCTGAGATGCAGGGATTCAGATTCTGTTACCCTTAAAGAGGAGAGGGTGACAATTACCACTTTAGGAAAGCATTTATCAGATGTGATCTGATCCACATGACCCAACTATCCCACTACTGGGCATATACCCAAAGAAAACTATAATTCAATGTATGGTTAAAAAAAAAAAAAGCCACCACAATATTGTAAAGTAATTATCCTCCAATTAAAATAAATGACTTAATTTTTAAAAAGACACATGCATCTCAATATTCACTGCAGCACTATTTAAAATGGCCAGGACATGGAAGTAACCTAAATGTCAATCAACAGAGAAATGGATAAAGAAGATGTAGTACATCTATACAGTGGAACATTACTCAGCCACAAAAAGGAACAAAATTGGATCATTTGTAGAGATGTGGATGGACCTAGAGAGTGGCATACAGAGTGAAGTAAGTCAGAAAGAGAAAACAAATATTATATATTAATGCATATATGTAGAATATGAAAAGAAATAGTATAAATGATCTTAATTACAAAGCAGAAATAGAGAATAAATTTATGGATACCAAGGGGGAAGGGGAGATGGAATGAACTGGGAAAGTGTGATTGACATATCCTCACTACTATGTATAAAATACATAGCTAATGAGAACCTACTGTATAGCACAGGGAACTCTACTCAATGCTCTGTAGTGACCCAAATGGGAAGGAAATTCAAAAAAGAGGCAATGTATGTGTTCATATAGCTGATTCACTCTGCTGTACAACAGAAACTAATTCAACATTGTAAAGCAACTATATTCCAATAAAAATTAAAAACAATTATTTGTTGAGCACCTGTGCTTTTGTAACTGGTAAGAGTCAATTTTGATTCTTCCATGATAGATCTGTGTCTTAGGCCAATTTTGTTATAGTCACACATAATTGCCTGCCTCAGAGAATCCTGCCTCTCTGTCTGGCTGTTAAATGAAAGTGCCTTTGTTCAGAACCCTGTCCACCTGTAGATGGCAGGAAGGAAGAAATTAACACATCCCCCTGCCTGAGGCTTGCCATTCTAGGAGATACTTGCAAGATTAAATGGCCTTTTGACTTTGTTTCCTCACCTCACCTCATCTCTGATCCATAAAAGAACCTGGCATCCAGAACCCCTACAAGATGGTTACTTTGAGACATTATTATGCCACCTTCTTGGTCAGCCAGCTCTGCATCCCTCAGATTCATTGGCAGTGAGCAGTGTGAGCTTGGACTTGGTAACGTGATTAGGGCTCTGGTCCAAATTTACTTTCTCAATACCACAAGGCACATATTCCTTGAGTTTGTAGGATCGTTTTTTTTTGGTCAAAGATCATTATATCATTTACTAATCACCAATAATTCACCATCCACAAGAAAAAGAAATTTAAAAAAGCAAAATGGCTGTCTGAGGAGACCTTACAAACACATGTGAAAAGAAGGGAAGCAAAAAGCAAAGGAGAAAAGGAAAGATATTCCCATTTGAATGCAGAGTTCCAAAGAATAGCAAGGAGTGATAAGAAAGCCTTCCTCAGCAATCAGTGCAAAGAAATAGAGGGAAACAACAGAATGGGAAAGACTAGAGATCTCTTCAAGAAAATTAGAGATACCAAGGGAACATTTCATGCAAAGATGGGCTCGATAAAGGACAGAAATGGTATGCACCTAACAGAAGCAGAAGATATCAGGAAGAAGTGGCAAGAATACACAGAAGAACTGTACAAAAAACATCTTCATGACCCAGATAATCATGATGCTGTGATCACTCAACCAGAGCCAGACATCCTGGAATGCGAAATCAAGTGGGCCGTAGGAAGCATCACTACGAACAAAGCTAGTGGAGGTAATGGAATTCCAGTTGAGCTATCTCAAATCCTGAAAGATGATGCTGTGAAAGGGCTGTATTCAATATGCCAGCAAATTTGGAAAACTCAGCAGTGGCCACAGGACTGGAAAAGGTCAGTTTTCATTCCAATCCCAAAGAAAGGCAATGCCAAAGAATGCTCAAACTACCACACAATTGCACTCATCTCACACACTAGTAAAGTAATTCTCAAACTTCTCCAAGCCAGGCTTCAGCAATACATGAACCACGAACTTCCAAATGTTCAAGCTGGTTTTAGAAAAGGCAGAGGAACCAGAGATCAAATTGCCAGCATCTGCTGGATCATCAAAAAAGCAAGACAGTTCCAAAAACATCTGTTTCTGCTTTAGACTATGCCAAAGCCTTTGATTGTGTGGATCACAATAGACTGTGGAAAATTCTGAAAGAGATGGGAATACCAGGCCACCTGACCTGCCTCTTGAGAAACATATGCAGGTCAGGAAGCAACAGATAAAACTGGACACAGAACAGACTGGTTCCAAATAAGAAAAGGTATACATCAAGGCTGTATATTGTCAACCTGCTTGTTTAACTTATATGCAGAGTACATCATGAGAAATGCTGGGATGGAAGAAGCACAAGCTGTAGTCATGATTGCCAGGAGAAATAGCAATATCCTCAGATATGCAGATGATACCACCCTTATGGCAGAAAGTGAAGAAGAACTAAAGAGCTTCTTGATGAAAGTGAAAGAGGAGAGTGAAAAGGCTGACTTAAAGCTCAACGTTCAGAAAACTAAGATCATGGCATCTGGTCCCATCACTTCAAGGTAAATAGATGGGGAAACAGTGGCTGACTTTATTTTGGGGGGCTCCAAAATCACTGCAGATGGTGACTGCAGCCATGAAATTAAAAGAAAGCTTACTCCTTGGAAGGAAAGTTATGACCAACCTAGACAGCATATTAAAAAGCAGAGAAATTACTTTGCCAACAAAGGTCCGTCTAGTCAAAGCTATGGTTTTTCCAGTAGTCATGTATGAATGTGAGATTTGGACCATAAAGAAAGCTGAGCACTGAAGAACTGATGCTTTTGAACTGTGGTGTTGGTGAAGACTTGAGAGTCCCTTGGACTGCAAGGAGATCCAACCAGTCCATCCTAGAGGAGATCAGTCCTGGGTGTTCATTGGAAGGACTGATATTGAAGCCGAAACTCCAATACTTTGGCCACCTGATTCAAAGAGCTGATTCATTTGAAAAGACCCTGATGCTGGGAAAGATTGAAGGCAGGAGGAGAAGGGGATGACCGAGGATGAGATGACTGGATGGCATCACTGACTCAATGGACATGAGTTTGGTTAAACTCCAGGAGTTGGTGATGGACAGGGAGGCCTGGCGTTCTGCAGTTCATGGGGTCGCAAAAAGTCAGACACGACTGAGTGACTGAACTGAACTGAACAATATCCTAACTTGGAATAAAATGTCTTTTCTTTTCAGTCCTTCTTTCCAGGATACTACATTTTAATCAGTTAAAAGGAAGAGTAATCCCCCAGAGGTCTGGTCCTTTAAGTATCTTTGTATTCTAAAGATAAATACAACCATTGAGCTACATCATGTTTCCTAGACATTTTATCCTCTGATCTGAAACCACTGGCCTCTTTCCCTACCAATTGCATCCATCTCAGTAGTGATCTGCATATATACAGCAATGCACTCTATATAAAAGCTTTTACCTCAAAAAGCTTAAAAATTGCAAAAAGCAAATAGGATTTCCAGTAACAGTTTATGATTGCTTTCATTAAAGAAGGCTCCCGTGCATCTTTCTCAGCTCTCTTCACTTCTTTATCCCAGTACCTGTGATGAGAAACAAAGCACAGTAAAGAACACCGTGTCCACCACAAGGAAAACAGTGGAGTGGTGGAGTGGAAGATAAGCGTTTACTACAGGGCGCTCTGTGGCTGCCCCATAAATGCTGGCTAACTGCCCACAGGGCTCCTGTGAGCAAAGATGAACGGTGCAGACCGTGAAGCACCAGGACTGTTTCCCTTCAACAAGCCTTGAAGGGAAAAGTCCTAGTCTTGGGAAATGACTTCCTGCCAAACTTTGCTGGATTCACAGCAACATGAACAGCTCAAGAGGGCAGACACCTTCCTCCTGTTGGAGAAAAGAAGCTAATTCTGACTACATGTTGGAAACTGTTTCTCTGACTTGCTTTTTGTTGCTTTTGTTATTGAAGTCATACATAATGGCCTGCCTCAGATGACCCTGCCACTCTGCCTGACTGTAAACTAAAGTGCCTTTGTTCAGCTCTTAGATAATCTGACCTTCCTACCTGTGAATAGAAGACATTAACACTCGCCTTCCAAAGGCTGGCCATTCCCTTGGAGATGTGTTATAGGACTGAAAATCCTTTCACTTTATTTCCCCACTGCCTCTCCCTCTCTATTCTGCATTTTGACTTTATTTTCTCATTGCTTCCTTCTCTCTGACTCTACTAAAGAACCTGGCATCCAGACCTCAACAAGATGATTACTCTGAGTCACCAGTCTGCCATCTTCTGAGTCAGCCAGCTTTCTGAATAAAGTCATATTCCTTGCCTCAATACCTTGTCTCTCAGATTCATTGGCCTGTCATGCGGTGAGCAGAGAGAGCTTGAACTCAGTAACACTCCAGGGACCCCACCTTCCGGGACAGAGCTCAACCTCCAAGGCCTCGACTGTGGGCTCCCTCCACTTGCACAGATGCACAGGGAACATAGACTCCCCGAACCTCCAAAGTGGGCTAAGACCAGGGTTAGCCTGAGACAGGTGAGCATGGCAGGTCAGGGGAGGAGGCTCAGAAGAACCCAGGGGAAGGCAAAGCCCCCCAAACACACACCTCTAGCCCCACGTGGAAATTCTCACTCTCCCTCCCTTCTCCCTCCTGCCTGGGCTCACCCTTGCAGCTCTTCTCCAAGGTGCTGGGAGCGATCTTCCGGAAGCACTGAGTACATGTCATCTTCTTCTAACCTCCGTTTGTGACCAATTTTAAACAAGGGGTTTAACCACCTGTTAAAAATTAAGAGAAAAGAAGAGAGGCATAAATCCAAACTACACATCTTGTTGCAGAGAAGAAGCCAATTCTGACTCCATGTTGAAAACTGTTTCTTTGACTTGTTTTTATTATTAAAATCATAGACAATGGCCTCCTCAAAGAACCCTTGCCCTTCTGCTTGACTGTAAACTACAGTGCCTTTGTTCAGTTCATGGAGAGATTCTTTGTCCCTGCCCACCTGTGAGTAGAAGAGATTAACACACCCCTTCCAAAGTCTGGCCATTCCCTTGGAGATATGTTGCAAGACTGAAGACCCTTTTACTTTACTGCCTCTCCCTCTGTATTTTGCCTTTTGATTTAAGTTCCTTATTATTTTTCTCTCTGTGATCTATAAAAGAACTTGGCATCCAGACCCCAATAAGATGGCTATTTTGAGGCATTAGCTTGACATTGTACAGGAGACAGATATCAAGACCATCCCCAAGAAAAAGGAATGTAAAAAAGCAAAATACCTGTCTGAGGAGGCCTTACAAATATCTATGAAAAGAAAAGAAGTGAAAAGCAAAGGAGAAAAGGAAAGATATGTCCATTTGAATGCAGAGTTCCAAAGAATAGCAAGGAGAGACAAGACAGCTTTCCTCGGTGATTAATGCAAAGAAATAGAGGAAAACAACCAAATGGGAAAGACTAGAGATCTCTTCAAGAAAATTAGAGATATCAAGGGAACATTTCATGCAAAGATGGGCTTGATAAAGGACAGAAATGGTATGCACCTAACAGAAGCAGAAGATATCAGGAAGAGGTGGCAAGAATACACAGAAGAACTGTACAAAAAACATCTTCATGACCCAGATAATCACGATGCTGTGATCACTCAACCAGAGCCAGACATCCTGGAATGCGAAATCAAGTGGGCCGTAGGAAGCATCTCTATGAACAAAGCTAGTGGAGGTAATGGAATTCCAGTTGAGCTATTTCAAATCCTGAAAGATGATGCTATGAAAGGGCTGCATTCAATATGCCAGCAAATTTGGAAAACTCAGCAGTGGCCACAGGACTGGAAAAGGTCAGTTTTCATTCCAATCC